ATCCGGATTAATAAATTGTAAGTTTCAAAAATATTGTCCATTGAATGTATAATTATTAAAATATCTTCATATTAGCAAATTTAAAGTTTAAATTAAATTCAAAATATATTTTCTATTAATTGTATTGATTTAACAATTATTTGTTTCACATTTGTTGAAACTATTTGTTCACAATTTGTTTATGACGGATGAATGAGAGAGTAGTCTGTGTTTCCTCAGTTAATAGGGACGCCAGACGGCTTCACACCTGTCCATTGCAGTAGCAGTTGTCTTCTTAATAACACAATAGTCTACATATTATCTGTATATTGTCATTTGTCTTAACATTTATTATTGGCAAAACATTGAATAGTTAATTTATGAAGTTTGACTTTTTATAAATTAATGACATTTTATACAAACATTTTAAGCGTGCAATGCAATATAAATGTATGTTAATTTAAAACGCCATGATCAAGTTAATATTGATATGATGAATTCAAATGAGTTCTGTTTAGGACGACTGAGGGATAGGCAACTTTATCAATAGGCGTTGGTCCTCGTAAATAACCCCGATTATCATCAACAGTAGTGTTAACACTGGAAAGTGGCGTAACCAATGAGATACCAGATTCAACCCCTCGATGAACCGACCGATTGACCATCACATGATTTGTTACGCGAATGTTGAACCGATTTGTATTGGAGAAAACGTCATACTTGTTGACCACAAATCGGAAAGCGATGGACAGGTAGTTAGCGATCAGGATTATAGAGAAGCCAAACCATAGGCTCACATTACTGCCCAAATAGGACACAAACTCTTCGAGTAATATCTTTGGCGAATGAGTGTATATAAGATCCGGCATTTCTGGCGGAAACACCGGTATAAAGAAGCCTTCGGTGGGAAGCCATGCGAATCGTCGGAGACGTATCTCGTAGTACTCTTCGTGACACTCGGAGTGTATACCACACGCGCGCCGACACGTCTCGCCTAATCGCGCGTCAAATGAGAAGTTTTTGCGATAGTCGTCGAAGATATCGTACATGCGATCCGTTGACTCCGTGTCATAATTCAAGTAATTTCCCGGCCATAAGCCGTCAGCTAATTCCTGGCGCACGACATCCACCCGACACTTATCAATACAGTGCGTCCGGGAATTATAGCCGCGGCGCCTATAGTCGTGGCAATCGGTTTCGTACGGGGTTTGCATTGAGTGCACAATTATCCTCCGGTAAGCGATAAAGTAAGTGACGTGTGAGTGTCCGATGCGATGCTTTGGGACGTCGGCGAACTCGTGGCGGTAAAAGTTATTAATCTGTTGCCGTCGAGAGTGGGCCGAGAAGTAGAGGTGTTGTATATTTGGGTCAAATTCAATGAATAACAAACTCCTCAAAAAATCTTTAAATATCAGATCGTTTTCTACATTAAAGCGCCGATCATTCACTCTATCCGATTGCCAGAATATGGTGAAACATAGTCTATAAATACAAACATGGTACATATTACATTTTTAACTCTATAAAGTACATTAAGACTGCAACATAACATTGCAAATTATAAACTGGATTTAAATTTACAGTTATATTTGTTTGAGAATAAGGTTAAATAAATCAAACCTGTAATAATCAATGGATTGTCGAATGTTTGCGATGCGATTACAATCAATATAAGAATCAGTGAATGTCTCGTTAAGAAACAACTGTGTCCTAAACACTCGACACCGGCGGATGATTTGACTTATGTTATGTAAGGCGTGGAACTGATCCCTAATTGACAGTTTTGCCAACGATTGCTCAATAATAGCATTACTTATATCAGTGATATTTTTGCCGTAATAATCCATTAACTTTTTAGCGTATAGTGTATGCAAAACCTCCCGTTTCTCCATACAAACGGTGATCGCCGGCAACGAAATAATTGATATATTTTCGTATTCAACAAATGTCGTCGTTTTGTATTGGAAATAGATTTCGCATATTTTGATTGTCTGGTAAAGACATGACACAAAACAAAACCCAATGAATAAAATACGATATGTGCTATGAATTGTAAATCGTTTTATTATATTGTTAAACATTGTCATTATAATATTTATTAAAAACTAAAATACAAAATGATAAAACATACTCTACAAAATTTAAACTTTGCAATAAAATCAAAGTACTTTTTTGTACTATCAATTTCATGTGTTGTGAAATTTATTAAGACTGACTCGTGAGGTAAACAATTTGTTTGTCAATTAATTGTATTATTATTGTATTTGAATTTATGCAATATATTGATATTTTGATGCAAATATATGTAATTCTTATCATAAATAATTAAATATTTAAATTTATTTACACATATTATATTACAAAAACATTTAGTCATAGCATAAGTTGTAAGATATACACATGTATGCTATTGTAATATATACACATGTAATATATAGACACCAAAATGTTGTTTTATTCAAATATTCTTATGTTAGATTTTGCACTAAAAATCTTTTGGAATATATTACAATATGTAAATAATAGTGCTATGTTTATAAGTCTTGTGTTTAACATGTATAAATTAAATTAACTTTTTATTTGACCAAGAAATATTACAAATAAAGTACGTGTGTACTAAAAAATCATAAAATTGACACAAATATACATAAAATATAATTAATCTAGTTTTTAACTAAATACAATATATTTAGACTTCACTGTATTGTATAAATATGATAAAATAAATGGAAATATACTTTATTTTTGCTATTTAATGCAGCCATAAAAATCTATAATTCATCATGCAATTTAATTTATTTGAATACATAAGTTCTATTTATTTTGCCTAAAATAAACACAATCTAACACTCAAGTTGTCTATTATTCTAGTACAGTATAATTATTGTCGTGCAGTAAATAAATTATAATAGAAATGTTTAAAGAGAAAATGGCGATTGATCAGAAAATTGAAACGTATAAATGGCCAAACATTAAACACTTATGAATTCAAAATACAAATTATTTATAAATTAAATAAAATTCTTGTAAATTCTTAGTCTAAAATCATTAACTTATCAGGAATATTATAATAATGAATAAAATTTTCAATAAAAACACATACAATCAAAAAAGATATCAAAAGTCATTGAAACGATTATATGTCATAAGCTGTCTATCAGTGTGTTTGTATCAAATTATACAATTGTGTGACATTTACTTCTCATACAAAACAATAACACATATTAAATACCAGAGCGTTTCAACGGTCTCTTTGCCCGCAATCACTATATGTATGGATAAAAAGTATTTATTACGCGATCACTATCTGCACCTCATTCCCGATAATCAAACCATTGATCAGTATTTGTTGAATATGACAATTGGAGGGCAACTGAAAGTGTTGTACGATTTCAATGATTTCTTTGATGGGTGTCGTGTTCTTCCTCCGCATATCTTCGCGCAGACCATTGATTCTTACTATTATTATATCAATTGCAGTCAAATCACACCAATTAGACGGACAATTAATCACAAGAGGTTACTATTTATAAATTGTATACAAATAATACGTTAATTATTAAATTGTATTAACCAAATGATAATTAACATATTGTTTATTCATACAGAATATGTTTCACACTATTCACACAATTAGAGGGGGAACCCAACGAGTGGTACGAAATGGACAACGATTTTGAATTCAAGGACTATATGCTGAACCTGTTATTTGTGAAAATGACTGGTTGGGCGCCGAAGTACTACCTGGCCGTACATCAGCGCAATCTTATGGTCAGTAACTACTGGAGGACAGAATTTGTTGAGTTCTCTGTCAACGACTCCAAACATTTGGAATACAATCGGGTTATTGTGCGGACACTTCCCGATCCCTATCAAACTCATTGTCTAGACTACCGACGGGTTGGCTACAAAACTCGGGGCGATTGCATCGACAGATGCCGACTAGAAGAGGGCGACAGTGTATGGCCGGGTCGCGTGGTTGGCCAATATCTCATGGGCAACGGATCAGAAGTGAACAAACGATTTGCCGAATGGGCTCCGCATGAAATGGGAGCAGATTTACGGATCAGTCGACAATGCAAACGCCGGTGCGGCGCCCGAACCGAGTGCTACCGAGAATACTATCACTACTCTATCAAACCCTATTCTGAAACATTTTTGGGTAACTTTCTAACCATATTTCCGCCCCAAATCCCTGACCAGATATACGCCCACTCGAGTCGTATGTCTTTCGATGAGTTCGCCGTTTTGGTGGGCAGTTGTGTCAGCCTATGGTTCGGTCTGTCATTTATTGCCGTTCCTCACGCTCTGTCCCACGGCTATGGGTTGGCCCAAAACCAATTGCACCAACACTTCCACTTCAAACACTTCCCTACCAATGCCCGTAAATGTAAGGTTGCAAATATTAATACCTCAAATCTACCACGTTTCCATTCCTGTGACCACATAGAGAATATACACGTGTAAGTGGTTTGGGTAGAGTTGCCATACAGTTGAATAATAAATAAATTACTAACTAACCAATAGGTTGTCCATAAGTGGTCAATCACGTCACGTGTATTGTGGTCAATAATTTTCAATCACAATTTATAACAATTAGTAAATCAAATGATAGTTACAAACTGTAACTTGGGTAAGTGGCATATTGTAATAAAATATGCCACAATTATTAATTTCATATATCAATTAATAACTGTATTGTTTTGTGTATGATTTTTTAAAACATAAAATTGCGACAAAAATGTTATATTACGTTGTAGTACCATGCATGTTTGCACGTTTTCAATTTAAACTTTAATTCTAGTTTAATTAGAAGCTTTAATTATATTTATTTAATTGAACATGCCGTATATAATACATGAATTATTTACTAAATTTATACTGTATTTCTATAAAGTCATACAATTGTATTACTTTATATAATAAATAATGATAATTAATATCGTATACAATAGAATACGCTATAATTGTAGTCAAATTATGTATTAAATAAATCACACTGCTATATCATGATGAATTGTGTGTTATTTTGTTGTAATTATTTTGAATAGTCCACATAAATTGAAAACATATTTTAAAAACATGTTAGAATGCATTCATATATTGGGCAAATGCTCGAAACGAGTGGTGCGGATGAGGCCGTAGTTGTCGTTGCGATCGAGAGAGTTCTGATGAATGGGTCCGATATTACGGTTAATGTTGTTGTTGTTATTGTTGACAGTCCGGGAGTGCAACTGTACGGACCGTATGTCTGGTGTACCACTTTTACCCGTCAGTGTTGGTAGAATCGACTGTCCGTACTATACATCAGTTAAGTACATAATTAAGTAAATAATTACCATTAAATAGCAACAATGTATCTAAATTTGTGTTAATACATTCTAACATTATTTAATATTTAAAATAAATGCTAAATAATTATCGCAAACCTTAGATCTCTGTCGAAACTTTGTGTGATTCGTGTCTTCGGCTGTGGACTCGATTTCGGGAATTTTGACATTTATGAAATACGGGTGCCGTAAGAGTACGTCACAAACGGGTCGCTTCTGTGGGTCCTTATCGAGGCATTTGCGCAGGAAATCCATACCCGACTCCTCGATCTGTTTGGGTATTTTCGACTCCAAGGGCTCGTGAGTCTCGGGCTCTGGGAGAGTGACGCCCGCGAAAAACTCATTAGTTTTAAACACAGTCATATGTCGGGGCATCAGATCGCCCACGGTCTTTCGTATTAGATACAGCTGATCCACGTCAGACTTTCCCGGCCACAGGGCTTCCCCGCGCTGCAGTTCGGCGGTCACGCAACCGATGGCCC